TCGGACACGCAGCCGCCCGTGCGCATGGAGGATAACAAGCTAAGGTGGATATTTCAGCTCTGTTGGGATCGGGTGAAGAAGGTAGGTGCCTACGCTCACCGTGTTACGTATCACCTCGATCTTTTGAGTCCATTGGCACCGGCTGACCCACCTGCAACCAACAGCGATGCGGACCAGGTGTGTCCATTCCTTCGTAGAACGCCTCCCTCTTCCCCCATTACTCACACGCCAACAGACATGCAGCAGCGATGGCGCGATATGCATCGCCGTTACTTCGACGGCTTGATACATCAGGTCAAGCAGATGAGCGAGGGGCTCACCGCCACGAGGAGCGTCGACGAATACATCGAGATGCGTAGGGGAACAATCGGGGTGTATCCGGCCATCGCTTTGACGGAATACGGCCTGGGCACGAACCTACCCCTTGACGTCTTCGAGCACCCGTCCCTGCAGGAATGCATGCGTATCTCAGCCGATTTGGTTCTCTTGTGAGTCTTGGCCAGTCACTGAGGTCTTCTACGTACCCGAATCCTGGTCTACAGCTAACCACGCCACAAAAATAAAGGGTTAATGATATTCTCTCCTACAAGAAAGACTTGGTAAGCATTGATCCCTGCATCACGGAGGCACGCTGCAGAGTGCCCGCGCAGTATTGACATCGGATTGGGTGTTGATTGAACCAGGCCCTCGGTGTTGAGCACAACCTGATCATCCTCTTCCAAAAGCAAGGGGCCACGGAGCAGGAGGCAGTGGACAAGATCGGCGAGATGATAGAGGACTGCTACAGGCGGTGGTACAGCGCGCTGGCGGCGATGCCCGTGTGGGGGGAGAAGATCGACCGCGAGGCGCTCCGCTTCGTCGACGCATGTCGCAATGTCGCGTTGGGCAACCTTTATTGGAGGTGCGTATCTGACGGAGTTCTCACAGCATCGGGAAGCTAAACAATCGACAGTTTCAAGACAGGTCGATACCTCGGGCCTGAGGGTGTTTCTGTCCTCGAGACACGGATGTTGCATCTGCCGGCTGAGATACCTGAATATGCAGGCTGAGTTGACTGAGTGTCCCGAGGCAGGCGGATACGTGTAAACCGGGAATTCACATTATGACATCTAGGGTGATTTTACAATATCAGAGTAGTTAGTTATAGGCTGGCGATGGGTCTGCCATGACTGAAATCTGGTACTCGGCCCAGATATAACGGCTTGCTTTGTGACGCTGAAACGTGATACAGAGGCTGTGAACTCGGCTTGGTACTCCCACCACTGGTCGTCGGGTAGGCTGTCGACTCGAATCAAGAGTTCCAGAGTCCTGTGCGGAACCATTGCGTCACCTAACTGCCTATGGGCGGTATGCCGTGTCTCTATCGCCGCCCTGCCTTGTCTGCCTCGCGGCGTGACATAACCTGCGAACTACTCGGGAGCTGGTATACAATTCCTATTCCACGACCGTAATCCGAGGTGTAGAACTCGGCGGCGGCGAGAGGAGCAAAGCTAATAAGAGAATATAAAGAGCTCGTTTAGATTCAATCTTAGCTCGTTGAAGTACAACCGCTACCTATAGAGAGCTTAGAGCTGAAATATACTGGAGCCCTGAAATATACGATACAACTGTTTACCGCTTCGGGTATAATTATAATAGGTATTAGCCTAGAACGGATCTAAAGTATTGTAACTTGTAAACTAATTCGCCTTAGACTAGGATCGACTGATCGAATATTCAATACTTTAAGTTAGGTACCCTATAAGAATAATCTAGCTAGGGGCAAGACTACTATTACTAGTACCTAGGTTATCTAAACGATAGTTAAATAGTATAATATTAAATAATAGTACTCTTAGGTATTTTTAGAAGGAACCTATAGGAGCCTTAATGGATTGAGTAGAGCTTTCTCAGAGCTTGGAGAGAAGCTACAAGGGTCCCTATAGAGTCCCTTCCACCCTAAAAGTTAGCTATTTATTCTACTAAGCGCCCTATTGCCCTTATATTTATACTCTATATAATACCTATATTAGTTTGGTTTTAATATACCTCTGTCCTATACCTATCCTTAATGTATTAGTTTCTTAAAATACAGTATTTAATATAGATATATACTGTGATAACCCTCCTCCGCTTATAGTGAGCCGTAGGCCCTGGCCTATACGCGTGTCCGGCGTCGCATCGCCCAATCTCGTAACGTCTCGATCCAGTCCTCTGGCAAGGCTAAACCGAAGCTGGTATAGAGAGAGAAGGCAGCCGACGTCGCAAGCAGGCGAGCCCGGGATGCGCCCTGTAATCTTGGACATGCTGTTGCACCCGCCGGGAATGGCGTCCTTCATCAGATATGGCGCCACGTCCGAACCGCGTGCTCGCACTGTGCCCGCAATATGGTGGAGTCCCGTGAAGCCATTTCTGGCTCTAGCAAAGGCAGGGATCTTGCAGTCATCAAGAGGCGAGCTATTTTTGGAGGTAATGACAACCTACAGTGGGGTTCCAAAAGTCTAGAGCACCCTACATCAATTAAACTCGCGTCGCGACGCAATACCCACCATCTTCAACCTTCCAACCAACCGAACTATAGCTCACCATAGTCAATTTAGCTGAGCTCGGTGCCAAATTGACGGCTAGCCGTCAACCTGGCCAGGAGCTATTCCCATCTGCACGCACAGCCATTGCTAGTGCCATTGCAGCGAGGGCTAGCCAGACAGCTGTTGCTAACGCATTTTCTACTAGCCGTCGTACAGTTCAACTATTACTTCAATGCTTCGAATCTTCCACTACGTTTGAAACCAAGCCTCGATCTAGCTGGCCAGAGCTTCTTATACCTCGTGAGAAATGGTATATTATACAACTAGTAAAGCGATTCTCTTGGCATATGCACATACGCTCCAGATACTTACTAGTACTTTAGATACCTATGTCTCTCGATTAACTGTACATCGAGTCTTATACGAGCATCGGATATAGAAGTAATACGTATAGAAGAGGATCTCTTTATTAAAGGCTGGAGCAAAGGATAGATATTAGTTTACTTGTTAGCAATTAGAGGATCCCGATAAATTGCTCCAAGTAAGTCGCTTAGTTATCAACCCTTGATTTTACTAACTAACTTCTAGACTATCTTCTCCGATAAATCGTCCTACTAGAATAATTCGAGTAGCCTAACGACCTAGGTCTTCCAGTTCTCTTCTCAGAAATAGGATAGGAACTTCATCAACCTCTAGACCTATGGTAAAGGTACTATTTCGGTTATAATTTAGGGTAGCATTTAGAAAGGAGAGAGGACTGACCTTGTTATTATAGAACGTGACTACTAACTACTATAAAAAGGAGGATATAGTTTCTAGAGCTATCAATAGATATTAGCAAACTGCCTTCTCCTAGTTTATAATAGTATAAAGCATTTCCAATAAGATAATACGAAGGTTTATACCTTGGTATCTTCAACAAAATAGCTCTAGAAGAAGGCAATTAAAGTTCTCGAAAGTTAGCTAGCCTATAGCCTAGATCTCAATCTAATTAAGCATATATAGGCTCTATTAAAATAGAAAATAAAGTAGAATTATCTAAATATCTAGTTACTAAAGAAAAACCAGCTAGATATAGCTGAATTTACTAGATATCTTTAGGTATATTAGTAGTTAATTATCTAGACTTAGGTAGACTAGTTGATTGACTCAATCCCCTAGCAATTAGCTATAGTTAAGAAGGCTAGAGGTTAGTACATATAATATTAAAGGCTAGGACCTAGGCTTTAATCTCTGTCTAACTATTTTACTAGAGCTTTTAGTAGTGAAGAGTTATGCGAAGATATGTCAAAGGGTTGCAGTACTAGAAAGTGTATGGCTAGGGATCTAGAAGTGGGGTGCTCCAGACTTTTAGAACTGTAACAAACTCGGTCAGACCTGACTCTAAAAGGGTTCAGCAGAGGTATCAAGACTGGTTCGGTCCAATAGGTTCGGTGAAGCCAAAGGGTTCACAACAAGATGTTCCTCACAATATATATAGAATGTAAAGGTTACTACAAACACTGTGATATATTGCTTACTAGAGAACTCCCAGAGCCCTCTAGCCCTATAACTATATACTACTTGCGTTCTCTATTGTTATAGTAGACGCTGCTGGTCGCTAGCGCCCCTGAGCATCTATAGTCGCCGATAGACGCTAGCGTCCACGAGCGACTGTCCTATAGCCTTGCGCTAGTGCTACGTAATTATTAGGCTGGGCTACGCCCCATAGGTTCCACCTGGCTGTAATATATAGTTGGTTCGTGATACGATGCCCCCTCTCGACGTCTTTCGTCCCGAAAGATCGAAGTCGTTGTTTCGAATAGCGCTAACTGCCCTAACTCCCCTGTTTCTTCCGTAAGCGCTCTCCTCCGTCCGCTACTACTCCCGTTATAGCTAATACGCCTGGTAGGCCCTGCCGAAACCGTGCGATCGAGCGCTGTACTGCTGCTGCCGCTATTGACCGCGACGGTCAAGAGGTCGACATACCTTACAAATGTTGTTAGAACGTAAAGCCCTAGAGGCGTTATATAATAGTACCTAGCTCGAATAAGTGCTTGGGTTACGTTCGTCTAGGTAAGAAGTATAGTAGTCTGAATATTATAAGTGTTTATAAGTCCTACTCGCCTTCCCTATAGTTCCTGATTAACCTTCGATAGTAATAGCGAATATATTGGCCTATAATAAGGTAGATAAAGAAATTATAGATATTAAACGATAGCTATCCGAGGCGTTGAGCCGTCTCTTATATCTTCGTCGTTAATACGAGACACTAGGTAATACTAGCTCCGAATTGTTAAGCTATAGTTTAGATAGGTTAGAGGAGGATAAGTCTAACTCTCTTGTCCCGATATCAGAGGAATAATCCTTGGTTAGCTAGGCATAGTCCTTAGGTACCTTCGTTATCAACTAGGAAGCTACTAGTATAGTTCCCTATAGTAGCCTTAACTAGTTGACTATCCTTAAAGCTACTTAAAGGTTTATCTTCTTCCCTCCTTTATATAATAATAAGATAGTTATATAGTATAGAAGTTAGTATATATACCTATCGTTCTACTTTACCTTAGGATAGAATCCTAGGGTAGAGCAAGGCTAGTATAAGGTTATAGGTTCGAATCCTATTATAGCCTTAGCTCTGATCTTCTCGTCTCTTTCTAGAGATAAGAAGGTCCGAGCTATCTTTTTTTTTTTTACTTGTACTAACTCCTTGTTCTAGTACTTCCTAGAGTAGCCCTTCTAGTACGAATACTTTACCTTCGGCTCTTCTCTTAGTCGATCTAGGTTCTAGCGGTAGAAGTTCGTAACCTTCTTAGGGTAGTAGAGGTTCTTAGCCAGTTCCTATAAGTTTTTAGTCGAGTCGAAATCTAACTATTTAACTAGATACTCCAATCGCCTTTCGTTAATATATAAATCGAGGATTTCCTTAACGTCCTATTCTTCTTCTTTGTCCTAGGCTTCGACATTAGTCGTAAGCCTAATGTTCTTAGGTACTAGTTCGAGGAGTATAATATAGAAGACGTTAGTCCTGACTTTTATCGTTGTTAGTAGTACGATCTAGTAGTTATTTTCCGAGATTCGTTCTTCGATCTTAAATAGCTCGATCTTTCTAAAGTCAAGCTTCCTACTTAGTCGGTTTATTTGAAAATTCTATATATTAAGGTAGACCTTATCTCCCCTTTCTAGGCGAGGACCCTCGAGCCTATACTTATCGTAGTACTCTTTTATCCTACCTCTAACGAATTCGAGTTCGTCCTTAAGTATCGCGTAAAGTATATATATTTAATTAGCCTTAACTACTACCCTAGGTACTATAACCGCCAGTCCCTAGCGTAAGTCTACCTAGTATCTAAAGTTCGCGAAGAATAGAGTAACTCTTATAGTCTCCGTAGGTAATATATTATATATAAGCTATACTATAGGTAGAAGTATAACCTAATCGTCCTACTAGAAGTTAATGTAAAACTAGAGGTATTGTTCTACGATCTAGTTAAGTCGTTCCGTTTGTTTATCTATCTATAGATAATAGGTTATCGAGAGCTTACTCTTCGTTCCTAGGCGCTTTATAAATACTTGCTAGAACTTTGATATAAACTTAGTATCTCTATCTATAATCTATTCCTTAGGCTATATATAGACTAAAGTAATATATCGGTAGATTATATCTACGAGTTGTTCTATCGACTATAATTCTTTATATGGGAAGAAGTAGCTCTACTTAGTAAGTCGGTTAACTATAGTAAGGATACTATTGTATATCGTCCCCGTTGTTATATCTATCGATACTAGTAGCTTAGTAATGAAGTCTATCGTCACCGAGCTCTATAGTCGTACTACAACCGGTAGCGGTTAAAGGAGTCTATAGGGCTTATACCTATCTAGCTTGCTCCGTTAGTATAGATTGTATACTATAAGTACCTCTTTAACCTTCTTCCTAAGTCCTAGGAAATTATAGTATTACTTGATCTTTATAACTATTTGTCGCGCAAAGGCAGCTCTCTGGGCGGCACCTGTCAGGCAGGGTTCCACCTGAC